ATTGTTTAAGTTGCCTTTGAAATTAGGCAAAATGAGTTCACCCATCTCTAGCAAATATCTGCTTAGCTATCTGAGAGTATTTTAATTAAACCTGTGGGTTTGCTTTTGTGTCCTGCCACCAGCGGCAAGACATGGCACCTGCTGCTGCTGTCAGATCCTAGGGGGTCGTACAAACTGAGCAGAGCTCTTCAGCATGACATTCGTGTGCTGCTCTTACTAGGGCTCCGTTGTGGAGGAAAGCAGGTAGCCCTAGAAAGCAGTGTGATTAAGAGTTCTAGTCCCAGCTCTGTCAATAACCTGCTGGATGCTTCAATCGGCCTCCGTTTCCCCTCCCACCTTTTTGTCTGTCCTGTCTCTAGGGCAGGAACTGCCTTTCATGATGTGCCTGCACAGTACATAGCACAATGGGGCCCTGATCTCTAGGCTCTCTTATAATACGAATAATCGTAACGAATTAGAGATGTGGCAAAATTTCCAGCGTAGCAATTTTTTGTTGGAAAATGCTGACTTGGTGGAATCGATACGTTCCACAGGAACACATTGATTCCGTCGAAACTTTCACCAGAAACTAAGGTGGCTGCGGCCATCTGTCTCCCTGGTTTCCTGCTATCTGAGCTGCTCGCCCAACTCCCCAGCCTCCTCAGCCTCCCAGCTGGTGGGACCTCTTGTATATCACAGGCTATTAAATGTATGGAGTTTAGACTAAAACGTCTCTTCCACAAATGCATCCAGTCTTGATTTCAAGATATCAGGAGATGGAGACTCCATCACTTCCCTTGGTAGTTTGTTCCAGTAGTTAATCGCCCTCACTACAAGCAAGAGGTGGTTTATTTCTAATTTTAATTTGTCTGGCTTTAACTTCCAGCCACTTGTTCATGTTATGCCAGACCTATTGCATTGGTGGTCAGGTAGGGACGCCTGGTTTAGAAGTAAACTGAAGGACCTGATTAGCATTTGCAAGCCCAGACTTGCCACCACCCACTTTTTCTCCTAAAAGAAAACAGAGGAACAAAGAAAAAACGGGTTCTATAATTGGGGACTAAGAAGCTATCAGAGGGTAATACCAAACCTGTCTGTCAAATTCCATACTAAAGTCCTGGCAAGGTAACCTTCTCCTCCCCACATTACATATACAAATGCACTGACTATAACATGCAAAGATGGATCAGTAAAATTGCAGTCTCTCCATAACTCTCAGTCCAGACAGACTCCTTAGAAATTGACTACCATCATAAGACCGGATTCTGCTTTCTCTTACATTGTTGTTGCCCCAGTGTAACTCCAGAGTCTTCAGTGAAGTTGTACCAGATTTACTCTGGTGTAAGAGAAATCAGATTCAAACCAATAAGACCAAATTGTGCTCTTAGTTCTATTGGTATAAATCTGGAATTATTCAAGTTTATTCTGATTTACTCGGGCATAATAGAGATGAAAATATGTCCTGCGTTGTCTAATCACTCAACTGCTAATAGAAGAACAGGAGTACTTGTGGCACCTTAGAGACTAACAAATTTATTAGAGCATAAGCTTTCGTGGACTACAGCCCACTT